TTTTAATTGGTTGATGATTGATTCTATCAACTAATTTGCCGATTGTTTGATTGTATTAACTTGATTCTTTAGATATCGAAAATTAAATAAAGAACATTATGTTAATTTAAGCGTACAGAAACGTTGCTGTTGTTTCAGCAAAGATCTTATTTTCACTTTACCGAGTGCCTAGTAGATAATTTGCAGATTTCCTAGATAATCTGCACATTACCTAGGTAATTTGAGAAATAGAAGAATTTTAGCAACTTTAACGGATCACGCTAGTTAATCTGCAGATTAGCTAGGTAATCTGCATATTAACGAGTTTCTGAGCTTTAGCGGTAACACCCACAGGGCGGAAAGAGCTAAAAAAATCTAGTCCTAGACTTATATTTTTAACTGAATTTAATTAAATTTTTATATTCGTTCCATTAAAAATCTTTTTTAAAGTTGGTTTTATCTATTTTTTTAAAAGACTTTATGTTAATTCTTCAAAGATTAATGAAATACTACACAAAATAAAAAGTAATGTATATTTTGTTGGTTTGTAAAAAATTTTATTACAAAATTTGACTTCAATTTTCTTTCTTTGTAGAAATGTTTGAGGCCTCTTGAAAGTCGAGGCCCTAAGCAACAGCTTACATAGCTTACTTGTAAATCCAGCCCTGATGGGATAGATATCAAAGCTGATGTTTTTAACACAAAGGGCTGCCCACTAGTGGCCAAGCGGTTTTCGTATCCTGAACACTGGGCGTTCGGTCGTGGGCTCGCGCCTCTCTCAGACAGGCTGGCCACGTGGAGTTTTCCGCGTTTTCTCCAGGTCTGTAACGCCTAAATTGGAGCCAGTTTCCCTAGGCAGATCGCCCAAGTGTTGCGTAGTCATAACTTAACAAACAACACAAAGGGCACAAATATATATAAAACGATTTCGTTCATTTGTTTCAATACCACATAATGACGTCTCCCGTTAGCAACAATTGTTCTCCTTTATAAAATTTCACGATAAACAGCTACAAGCAGCATATATCATTATATCAGACAGTAATAGATGTGTGGTGATCAATTCGGGAGTTTACCCAATCGCGACCAGAGGGAGTCCCGAGAAATATAAAGACTGCACAGTGGGGTCAAATCCCAAAAAGCTGGCCAAAAGTCAAAAGCGTTATCAATTTGACTGAAAGTCAGTACTCGAGGGTTTTCGGGATCGCTGATTACGAATCCGTAGTCAAAATTTGAAATAAAAACAAAATGGCGGATTTAACAAGAACCACTTTTATAGAAAAAGTACAAAATAAATCCATATATTGTTTAATACGATAAAACATACAATCAGTTGATTAAAAGTTCATGCATCGTCATCCAAAGAATAATTTGATTCACAATAAGATGATTCAACTTTGAAATTGCTGGAGCTTCCTGTACTTGCTGGTATACGTGGCGCAACCAACAATAAAACTGCTTCTGGAAGCAACGACTTTGAGTTTTTTCGAGGTAATTTGCGCAAACTCGAAATTCGGATATTAATAATAGGCGTAAAATAATGTCTTCCATTGTTTTCACTCAGGAACTTTTCTTGCAAAATCTTCTCGAAACTTTTTAATGCATTTATTAGTAGACTCTTGAGCGTCTTCAGACATCTGCCCTATCGGCAATACCGATGAATTTATCACTTCTGCACCATGAATCAATATCTTATGTACCGAAGTTGGCACGCAGAACCACAAATATAACTGCACAAAAAACGAGCTGTCTGTAAGGCATAATCTTGAAATTCTATGAAATCGATTTCATGGCCACACAAAATTGTCTGCATTATAACATCAAGTCCTCACAACCCCTGTAACAGCAGCAGAAATGCTTGAGTTTTCGAAAAATCGTCGAGCAGTATTACCATCATTCGAGCTACCGAAACCAGGCTTTGGTTGATCGACTATTAGACTCAATTCTATACGGAAACCCTTCTGTATATTCGTTTTTCAGAGTCTTATTTATTTATTTCCTTAACCAAACTGTGGCAAGCGGATAGTGATCCGCTTGCCACGGGCAAATGATAAATCAATTAACAGATTTTGAGGAAATCAAGCATGATGACTGCCCATATGTAGACGAGGAGGAATCGAATGCAGGAACAGAAAAAGAGGTGAGAATATATTTTGTAGTTTTCGTCTTGTTTAGATATAAGAACTGATAAATATGTTTAAATTTACCAAGCACAATTTCATTTCAAAATTTTCTTTTTATCATGTCTGATTATAATGTAAAATATTTAATTAAAATTAAAATATTGTATTGTAATCGGAAAATAGGCGATGTTATAATATGATTAGTTAAAAGATTTAATTATTTGAAAATTGTGTGCTAGAAGTGAACATTCTATCATTTAACGATGTAAATAATTATGATTACCAAATTTGAGATAATTTAATGTAATTGGAGAACCTGTCAACATTGAATTGAATTTTCAAATTTATTTATTTTATTTGTACTTACAGATAACAATTTTTACCTTTCTTATAGCAAAATTCAACTTATTAAAATAATTAAAATAGGCCATTTGTAATAATATGTTTTCGGAAATTTTATTTTATGTAGTAAATTTTGCATAATGTTTTGAAATTTTGTTCTTGTATAACTATTTATTTTTAGTTATTTATATTTGATTTTCTTTTAGAAAAATTAACTTAATATTTAAAAGGTG